TGACCCTTTCATGTCTCCGACAGCTGTCCGGCCGCCTGGGCCGGGCGGGGCAGCCAGGCCTCTCTCGGTTTGCTCCTCGGGCCTCTGGGCACACACTTCCGGAGGTCCGCAAGGATTTTCGTGGTGCGCTGGGCCCCGGGAGAAGTGCCTCCTGCGCCGCCTCTGGCGCGCTCCGCGCGCCCAGGGAGGGGGCTCCCAGCGCAGACCCCAGAAAACCTCGCTGGTCCTCGAGAGTTTATGGTTATGACGCTCTTTCTTCCTCTCTTCGAAGAAGACGAGGGGGGGGAAGGATGCTCGAGGATCGAGCCTCAATGGCTTCGGACGTCTTTGGTATGTCTTCGGCCTCCAGGGCTCTTCACGCAGGCCCCGAGAGGCCTTAGGCAGACTCGGGGGGGGGCCTCCGGAGTGCTCACAGGGGACCTCAGGGAAACCTCCGCGGAGAGCTCCGGAGCGCTCCCCGCCTCAGGACGAAACCATGACGGCCGAGTTCCCCGATCCTGGGCTCCATGAGGGGCACGCTCGGGGCCGAGAGCTGGCATAGGCCTGCGCAGCGCAGCGAACGTTGAAACGAAAGACACCGAGAAGTGGACAGCTCTGCGACCCCGCGCGTCGTAGAAGGGGACAGGGCGCTGGAGGTCTGGGGATGACGAATTAGCTGCGGGCTTCGGCACATGCCGTCAGACACACACACATATGTACACCACTTGCAATCGCCACAGGACAACGCGTGACGCTCGTGCATCACCAGGAGGCGGCTGGAAAAGTTGGAGGCGAGATGGAAAATACACGAGACGGGAGCCCGCAACACGTGTGACGCGACGCAAAAATGCCGGGCAGGAAAAGGCAGGACAGACGCCAGGGGCGCATGGAGGGGCACAATCTCACCTGAGGCGAGTGGCCCTGTCCTGCGACCCGACGTCACGGAACAACTACAGCATCGCAACAAACAACTCGGTCTGCTGCATTTTTCGAGCTGGCTCGATCCGTGAGAATCCGGGGGCACGAAACGGGGCAACACCGCCCTTTGTGAAAACATTGCGACGCCAGGGTCTCAGGGTAGGGTAGGAGGCATGGCGCAGCCCTAGAGAGGAACAAAGCACTGAATAGACATGATTCCTCGGGGTTCCGCGCGGATTTCTTGGATCGGCGCTGGGGCCCCCTCCCTCGCGCGCGGAGCGTGCCGGAGGAAGCGCCGACTCGAAAAATCCGCGCGGAGCTCCAGAAGAGAATGTTTATGCTGTCTTTCCTGCTTCGATACGCAGAAGGCACCTATACACCATCACTGTGCGTGACCATCCAGGGCCATCATTGGGCCATCCTGGTCCAGGAAGGTGTATACCTCCCCAGGATGGCCCTGGCCAGACGTGGTGGTGGTGCATCAATGCCTTCTGCGCAGTCGACGGATCCGCAAGACCCCTAGGCCACCGGCACGTCCCAGAACCTCCTGGAGCAGCGCACCGAGGCCACCACGTGCAGCAGCTGTGCAGGCGCCGCCAGCAGCTCCAGCGCCTCGGCCGCCAGCAGGGGCCGCTCGTCCTGCAGGCCCAGCCCACCGAAGGCGCACAGCTGCGGGGAGGCGGACCACAGGCGGGCCTCCGTGGAGGGACGCTTCGAGGCTCGAGGCTCGAGGCTTTCGGCGCGTTCGTCGGCTCTCGGGGGCTTGCCTGCCTCGGGGTGCTCTCCAGCATCTGCGCCTCGCGGGGAGCAGCGCTGGAGTGCCCGACACGTCCCAAACGGCCGCCAGAGAGCCGACTTAAGGAATGGTCCGCAAACCTGGGTGGGGAGGGGGAACTCGGGCCGGGCAACGGCACAGACATAAACTTTCGGAGCTCCGCGCGGATTTCTGGGGTCGGCGCTGAAGCCCCCCTCCCCGGCCCGCGGAGCGCACCTGGTGCGGCGCCGGGGGCGCCGCCGGGGGGGCCCAGCGCAGGTCCCAGAGATCCGCGTGGAGCTCCAAAAATGAATGCTTGTGCCGTCTGGCCTCTTCCTCGAGCCTCGTAGCTCACCCCGCACGACGCCATCATGTCCGCGCTGGAGTGCAACACGACCACCATGGGCCTCAGCGCAAGCAATGGCCGGGTCAGTAGCGCGGGCACAATGCGGAAACGCCAACCGTCGGGCAGCTCCAGCGGCGCGCCCGCCGGCTGCGGGAAGACCGGCAGGCGTGGCCTGGCGTGCTGCCGCACTAGCTCTGGCGAGGCCTCCTCGCCCGCCGCCGCCTCCTCGCTCACGGACCCCACCAGCGTCGCGGCGTCGATGCCGGGGCCGAGCTCGTACCAGCACGCCATGGCGAAGAGCTGGTGCGACGGCTCCGCGGCCGCCGTGGCGGCCTCTACCGCCTCCACCGCGGCGTCCAGCTCGTCCCGCGTCTCCAAGTGCCACCTGTCTTTGAAGCGCAGCTGGCACAGCGCGCGCGCCGTGCGCCTCACCTCTCCCGGCGCCAGCCCGGAGAGCAGCCGCGGCGCCAGGCTTAGGCCGCTCTCCTCGAGCCTCGCCACCTGCAGGCGCCAAATGGCCGAGGCGCCGCTGCCGGCCATCAGCAGCGCGATGGGCGCCTGCGCGCGCGCCAGCGCCGCCAGCGCCGCGGTGGGCAGCGCCGCTCCCAGCGGGCCCTCCAGCAGCAGCTCCTGGCAGGTCGTCAGCAGCCCCGTCAGTGACGCGCGCCTTCGGCACCCCGAGGGCGAGGAGGGCGCCGCCGCCTGCAGGGGAGGCGCCGCCTGCCGGGGAGGCGCCGCCGACGTGCGGCGCCGCGCGGCGGAGATGGCCTCGCGGATCCGGTCGTACGTGGACACGCGCCGGCAGGTGTGGCAGAAGCGGCAGGCGTCGCCCCAGCGGCAGCCGCCGCCCCGCGCGTCGACGAAGCGGCAAGCGCCTGGCCTGCCGTGACAGCAGGCACCAGCCTGGCCGTCGCCTCCAACGGCGGGCCCGCCAACGCTCGGCCCGTTGGAGGCGACGGCGGCGAGCGCGGCCATGCCGCGGCCCGCTGGCCGCAGCCGGCAGTCAGAGCTGCGGGCGGACCTGCAGGAGTTGAGCCCAAACTGCTGTGTGGCGAAGGCTTGAACCAAGCCGTGCTCTTCCTCACCATCTCCTTCGTCTATCCCGCGCCATCGGGCACTGCCACGCCTCCTGATTATTCGGGTTTTACCCCTGCCGCGGGAGCGCATATGCAGCTGACTGAACATCCGTGCGACAACGACACCCACATAAGACCCCAAGCGGGAACCCAATTCTGAAGGAAAGTATTTCGCCGCTGCGAGCCGCACCCCGCTCCTGTCACGCAGATGACATCCTCTACGACGGACTGGCAAATGTCGCAGAAGAAATGTGCAACACGATGTTTGTTCAGTGTGGCAAAGTGATACATGTTGTGTACATACATATATACGCATATATATATATATGTATGTATGTATGTGTGTATGTATGTATGTATGCATGCATGTATGTATGTATGTATGTATGTATGTATGTAGGTAGGTAGGTAGGTAGGTAGGTAGGTAGGTAGGTATGTATGTATGTATGTATGTATGTGTGTATGTATGTATGTGTGTATGTATGTATGTATGTATGTATGTATGTACAAGTGTATACATGTATGAATGTATGAATGAATGAATGAATGAATGAATGAATGAATGAATGAATGAATGAATGTATGTGCAACAGGAAGAATGATGGGGAGAGGGGCAGGAAGCTGGACACTCAACAGGCGGAGGAGGAGCAGCAGCAGGGCCGGGGATCTGGACGAGCAGGGCAGAGGAAAGGAAGCAGACACCTTCCAGGCAACCCGTTTTTGAAGGGACCCACACAAATAAACACACACAAATAGCAGGATTCCCAATATTTTGGAATATTTTCTGGATTTTCGTCTTCCCCCCCACTGCCCATATTTTCGAGGGCGCGCCGCTGGATCTCCCCAAAGGGGGGGGGTGGAAACCCCTCTAGCCCCCCTTTCCTCGATCCGTCGTCGGGTCCGCCCTTCCCCGATCCGTCGTCGGGGACACCCCCCCCCCCTCCCCCCCCTTTCCTGGTCCGTCGTCGGGACCCCCCCCCTCCCCCCCATTCAAAAGGGGGGGTGGGGGGTTCCGGACCCCCCCCCCTCTCCCCGCCTTTGGCCGCACCTCCCCCCCCCTCCCCCCCTTTCGCCACGTCGCCCCTTGACTCCGGAACCCGACCCCTACCACCCCGAACCCTAGTCCTCACCCTAACCCAAACCCCTAACCCTAACCCCAAACCATAACCCCAGCCCCAAAGAGCACTCACTACTCATTAATCACTACTCACTACCCACTACTGACTACTCGCTACGCACTACTCACTTCTCTCTACCCCCTATCCACTACTCACGACTCACTATTCACTATCCACTACTCACTACTCACTACCCACTACTCGCTACTCACTACTCCCTACTCACTGCTCCTTCCTCCCTACTCACTTCTCACTACTCACTTTTCACTACCCACTACTCAATAATCACTACTCACTAATCACTACTCACTACTGCCTACACACTACTCGCTGATCACTATCCACTACTCACTACTCACTACTCATTGCCCACTATTCACTACTCACTACCCCCTACTCGCGACTCGCTACTCCCTACAGTAGTACGGAGTACACAGTACTCAATACTCACTACTCTCTATTCCCATACTCGCTACGCAATACTCACTACCCACTCCCCGCTACTCACTGCTCAGTACTCACTACTCAGTACTCCCTACTCACTACACACTAGTCTCTAGTCACCAGTCACTAGTCACTAGTCACTACCCTACTCCCTACTCGCTGCTCCCTACTCATTACTCACTACTCACTACTCACTACTCACTGCTCCCTACTCCCTACTCCCTACTCGCTACTCACTACTCACTACTCACCACTCACTACTCGCTACTCCCTACTCGTTACTCACTACTCACTACACACCTCACTACTCACTACTCACCATTGACTACTCCCTACTCACTACTCACTACGCCCTACTCGCTCCTCACTACTCACTACTCGCTAGTCCCTACTCCCTACCCACTACCCACTGCCTACTACCCACTACTCTCCATTCATCACTATTCACTACTCACTACTCACTACGCACTACTCACTACTCACTACTCCCTACTCACTACTCACTACGCACTACTCGCTACTGTCTACTCACTACTCATTACTCACGACTCACTACTCACTACTCACTACGCACTACGCACTACGCACTACCCAATACTCACTACTCAGAAATCACTTCTCAACACCCCCTACTCACTACACACTACTCACTACCCACTACTCATTACTCCCTACTCCCTAGTCAATACTCTCTACTCGCTACTCGCTACTTACTACTCACTACTCACTACTCGCTACTCACTACTCACTTATCAGTACACACTACTCCCTATTCACTAATCACTACCTCGCATTCCCTACTCCCTGCTCCATACTACTCACTACCCAATACTCACTACTCACTACGCACTAACTCACAACGCACTACTCAGTACTTCTACTCCCTACTCCCAACTCCGTACTCCCTACACACCTTCTCTGGCGCAGAAAGGAGAAGCGAGAGAGGCCCCCTCCCTTGCTCCCTTTCCGGCGCAAAGGTGGGGAGGGGGGGGGGAGTTCGAAAATCTCACCCCTCCCACCCCCTTGGAAGGGGGGGAGGGGCGGGGTGGGGCCCTGCGAGCACACATCCCCTTTTCAATTACAGGGTGATCCAGTGGCGCGCTTTCCATATTTTCCTATCTTTCCCTGGGGGTCGACGATTAATTGTGTCTGTGTGTTTTTCCCCCTCATGACTTTTCTGCAATACGAACCTCTTCGACTCAGCCGCCCCGCGCCCTTCTCTTCTGCCTCCTCTTAAATCCGCCTGCCTGCGTCCCTCCCTATCTCCTCCGCCCTCCTCCTCCTCCTCCTCCTCCTCCTCCTCCTCCTCCTCCTCCTCCTCCTCCTCCTCCTCCTCCCCCCCCTGCGCACCTTAGGACCTCCCAGGGCCACATACTTCTTGGGTTGCTGACTCCTCCGTCTGAAAGCCATGCTTGGCACGAGCAGCCATGGCTTTTGAACATCGGGTCGGCCCTGGCTGCCGCGGACCACAGGCACACACATTGTTTCCTCGGCGGCACACACACAAACACAAACATACTCACACGCACGCACACAAACATACTCACACGCACACGAACACACACACACACACACACACACACACACACACACACACACACACACACACACACACACACATACACGTCTTTCTCCAGCGGCGGGGGGCCTACACCGTGGCGATGCGCTAAGCTGGGATACGCTGAAGCGAACCTCGCCCCGACGACACGTCTGGGTGGGCGAACACATCCTGTGAATACGCGGTCGGGGGTCGCCGCGCCCACGCAAGGGGAAGGAGGACGAGGAGGGGGACTGGGAATGAGAACAGGATGAAAAACATGATCGTGGCGTAGAGGAATTCGCCGGCACCCCTGTGGGGCCACCAGGCTGTAGGGCGAAGTTGCTGCTCCCCGCACCAGTTGCAGTTTCAAGTCTCCACACAGTACATAGTTGCATCAGTTCAATTTCGAGTCTCCCTGCACCAGTTGCAGTTCCTGTTGCAATCCTGCTTCGTACTTCCTATTATCAATTGAAGTCCGCGCGAGGGGAGGGAGCCCCAAGCTGTCAAATTTACCACGCCCGGATCGCGTTCTCGAGTTCATGCGAGATTCGCGTCCCCGAGGCCATAATCATTTGTGAACTACACCGAGGCGACAAATCTATGCAATGTATACGACTTGCGTCTCGAGGCACCAAACCCAAACAAAGAATACAAGATTCGCGTCCCCGAGGCAACTCACCCCTCTAAATTACAACGCGTTCGCGTCTCCGAGGCCACAAACCCATGTAGATTATACAACTCGTGCGTCCGCGAGACAACAAAATCTTGTAAGCTATGCCATCGTCGCGTCCTCGAAGCTATACGCTCTCGCAAATTACACCAAATTCGCATTGCCGAGGCCAGGAATGCTCCAAGGCGCCCGAAGATGGTTCCGAGACAGCCCAAGAGGGCCCAAAGAGGCCCCAAGAACGCTTCAAAAGGCCTCCCGGGAGAGCCCCAAAAGGCCAACATCGCATTTTGTACGACAGTTTTTGAAGGATAGGCTCCCAAGACCGCCACAAGACAGCCCAAGATGCCTCCAAGAGGGCCCCAAGACGGCCCAAGAAGGCTCCAAGATGGCCCAAGAAGCGCTCAAGACGTTCCAAGAGGGCCCCAAGACGGCCCCAAGAGGGGCCCAAGCAGGGGACCACGAACCGACCATTCGATATTTGTGCCCCGAGAAGCCCCCAGGTGGCCCCAAGAGGCCGCCAAAAGGCCCCAAGAGGCCCCCAAGAGGCGCCCAAACCGTCTCCAAGAGGCCCCCGAGAGGCTCCCCACGACACCCCAACACATATACAAGACGCCTCAGACCCACAACCCAGGCACGGTCGCGGGATGGGCCGCAGGCCACTAGTATCCGCCGCCCCCTGTTGGCTTGCCACAGGGGTGCCCGGCGTGCTAAGCCCTATCCTCTGGGTTTTTTCCCAACAAAACAATCCACTGGGGCTTCGACCCGTCCCGCCGGCCACTCGGAAGACCGCACAAGGCCCGCAAGCGGCCACAAGGACCGCACAATTCTCCAAGACGGCTTAAGAAAGATGGCCTCCCAAATGGTCATGTTGGCCCAAGATGGCCCCCAAGTTCGCCCAAGATGGTCCAAGATGGCCTCCAAGGCGGCCCAACAGGGTTCGAGATGCCTCCAAGTCCGCCCAAGAAGCCTCCACAACGGTCCATGGGCGCCCAAGAGGCCTCCAAGAGGCCTCCAAGACGACCTAAGAGGCATCCGAGAGGACCTCCAGGCAGGCCCGAAGAGGCCGAAGTCATGGATTTTCCCTCGGTGTTCGAAAGGTTTGGGCGTTTGCTTCTTGTCTTCCGACGGCCCGAGACGGCCTAAGAGCCCCCCACGATCGCCCCAAGATCGCCCAAGAGGCCTCCAAGATGACCCCGGAACGGCCCCGGAGGCCCCCAAGACCGCCCCAAAAGGGCCCCAATACGGCACGAAAGGCCTCCAAGACGCCAAAGATGGCATCTGGCCCTGGAGCACCCCAAGAGGGCCCCAAGTCGGCCCAGAGAGGCCCCGAAGACGGCTTCAGACGGCGTCAGACGGGCCAGGAATGCCCTGAGACGGCCAAAGAGGCGCCCGAGAAGACCCCAAGAGCCCCCAGGATGCCCTCGCAGGAGGCCCCAAGAGTGCCCCAGAGGCTCCCAAGATGCCCCCTGCTCCTCCTCATCCTCCTTCTCCTCCTCCTCCTCCTCCTGATCTTCCTCGCAATCCTCCTCCAAGTGTTCCCCGAAGGGTTTTCACAACGGTTGGGGGAACACATGGCCCGATAGCTTCGCGTAGCTCTTGCCACAACGCTCGGCCACATGGGCGATTTCAAAAGGCAGGGGGCGGCGGTGATTCGCCGTAAGCGTCTTCAATCCGCCGCCGCCTGTTGGCTTGCCACAGGGGTGCTGGGCGTGCTGGATCCTAGTCGGGATGGTTTTGGTTTCTCTCCAAAAGAACTCTCCCTGGGGGTTCGGCCCGTCCCGCCGGCCACCCGACTGGCCCGCAATTGCCATAACAAGTGTCCCAAGACGGCTCAAGATGTTTTTGAAGACCGCCAAGATGGCCCAAGCTGGCCTCCAAGATGTCTCCAAGATGGCCTCCCTCCAAGACGGTGACGATGGCCCCAAGATGCCTCCAAGGCGACCCAAGATGCATCCAAGACGGCCTAAACTAGCTTCAAGATGGCCGAAGACGGCCCAAGAGGACCCCAGGAGGCCTCCAAAACGGCCTAAGAGGCCTCCAAGAGGTCTCCCAGGAAGGCTCGAAGAGGCCAAAATCATTGATTGTCCGAAGTTTTTGACGGATTTGGGAATTTGCTTCTCTTCGGTTCTCTGACGGCCCGAGACGGCCCAAGAGCCCCCAAAGATCGCCCCAAGATCGCTCAAGAGGCCTCCACGATGGCCCCAGAACGGCCCAAGATGCCCCCAATTCTGCCCCAAGAGGGCCACAAGACGGCCCACGAGGCCTCCAAGACGCCCAATATGGCCTCCAAGACAATCCTGGAGCGCCCCAAGAGAGCCTCAAGTTGGCCCAGAGAGGCCCTCAAGTCGGCTTCCGAGGGCGTCAGACAGGCCAGGAGGCCGCCAAGACGGCCAAAGATGGCTCCAAGAAGGCCCAAGACGGCCCAAGAGGCCCCCAACAGGTCTCCAAGACGTCCCCAGAGGCCCCCAAGAGGTCCTCCGGGAAGACCCGAAGGTGCCAACCTCATTGATTTTTCTTGGGTTTGTCAAACGTTTTGGCATTTGCATCTCTTCGATCTTCCGACGGCCCGAGACGGCTCAGGCCCCCAAAGATCACCTCAAGATCGCCCAAGGAGCCTTCCAAGATGGCCCCAGAACGGCCCAAGAGGCCCCGAGAAACGGCCCCAAGAGGGCCCCAGTACGGCCCAAGAGGCCTCGAAGACGCCCAATGTGGCCTCCAAGACGGCCCTGGAGCACCCCAAGAGGGCCCCAAGTCGGCCCACCGAGACCCCCAAGGCGACTTCCGACTGCGTCAGACGGGCCAGGAATGCCCTAAGACCAAGACGAACAAAGAGGCCCCAGAGAAGCCCTCAAAAGGCCCCCAAGAGGCCCAAGGAGGCCCCTAAGATGCCACCAAAAGGTTCCCAGGAAGCTTGAAGGAGGTCCCAAGGGTGCCCCCATAGGCTCCCAAGATGCCCCCTCCTCCTCCTCCTCCTCCTGATCTTCCCCGCCATCCTCCCCCAAGTGTTCCTCGAAGGGGTTTCACAACGGTTGGGGGAACACATGGCCCGATAACTTCGCAGAGCTCTTGCCACAACGATCGGCTACATGGGCGATTCCAAAAGGCAGGAGCCGGCGGTGATTCGCCGTAGGCGTCTTCGATAACGCCAACGTCTCAATACGCGTAATGATTACTATCCGCCCCCGCATGATGTTCCCAGATGCGCCACGGCAACGCCGAGACGCGCCGACGCGACTCTCATACATCCCATTATGATAGAGAGGGGGCCGGCGGCAGAGGGCGAAGCCCTTACGGATAACTAGATAAAACCTTTGGCCGCAAACCTCTGTTCAATCTATCAAGTAATCCACGCCGCTTGATGGAAACAAGATGGGGCTTCAAGGTTAAAACCGAGGAGGAGGACCGAGAGCTCCGACATCCTGAGTTCGTTCAGTGCTCGAGGCCCCTCAGCTCTCGGCGCGAACATTCTCATGGATGTCGGGCAGTGGATTCATCTTGCTGTTTCCGAAACCCTGAGACAAGAAACCTTGACATCTCTTGGGGGGCTCATCTTCTGCCTTCCGCCAACTTCCGTCGTCAAAGCCGCCCCCGTTTTACGTCCGCCGGCTTCGCGGGCCTTCCGCCGCCTTCCGCCGACGAGGAGATGCCAGCCCCTTCGACCCTCAAAGGCGAGGCCCTTTCCGGAACGCCACACGTGGTGGGCTTATTTTTGCATGAAGCGACCGTCTACCACCCTGGGCTAAAAAGAAGCTCGTCCGCCCTTGCCTTTCAGGACGCCTGGGGCTGGGGGGGAAAGAGGGGGCGGGCAAGACAAGGGGACGGGGAGCCACAACGACCACGACGACGAGGGCGAGGACCACGACAAGCCTGCGACGGGCGGAGGGCTTTTGCTGGGGCAAGATGTGGTCCGAATTTCGATGCGAGTCTCTCAGGAGGGAAAGAAACACACAGACACAATTAGTCTTCGATTTCCTGGAAAATACGGGGAAATATGGGAAGTGGTGGGGAAGACAAAAACCCAGAAAACATGGGAAAATATGGGGAATCTGTTTATTTGTGTGTATTCATTTGTGAGTCCTGGGGCCCCTTCCATCTCGCCGTGGAGAAGAGGGCGCCCCAGGAGCCCACAGAGGGAGCGAAAACGCGCCCAGAGGCCTCGAACCTCCACCCACGATCGACGACGAAGGACGACCCCCGCCACCACGACCGCGACGGCAACGGCGACGAGCAGAGCGACGGCGGCGAGGAGCACCCCTGCGACGACACCGATGTAAGCATGCGCCTGTGGTCTGAGATGCGTTCCAGGTGTTTCGAAGTTCCTCGCTTCGGGAGCCCACGTGACAAGGATATCGGGGACACCAGAGGAATCAATTGACGTATCACAGTCACGACTCCTTGCCCCTTCGGACCGCAACGACCACGGCGGCGACGGTGACGACTACCACAGCGGCCTCGACCGCAGCGACGACGAATTCCAAGACCCAAAGATCCTCCGTCGTGATGTTGTTCGCCACGTGGCTCCCCAAATGTCTGGACCCCTCCCCTGGAACCGCTTCTTCATCCGGAGTTGACTCCTGACGGCCCAGGGCCTTGAGGCCCCCCGAAGCCGGAGGTGAGCGAAAACCTCCTGCGATTTGAAACATAAGCCTGGGTATAAACGAAGAGTCGGACGTAAACATTCCTATTCCTGGACTCCGCGGATCGGCGCGGGGGCCGTCTTCCCTGGCGCGCCGAGCGCACCGGGGGGCGCCGGCGGCGCTGCCGGGGGGGGGTCAGCGCCGATCCACGACATGTGTCGCGGAGCTCCGACGGTTTTTGTCGAGCCAGGTGCGCAAGCGTCTTTCTGACGTCCGACCCCTCCCTCCAAGCCCTTCCACGGCGCAAATCTCCTCTCCATTCGCATAGTCGGATGTCGAGCAGGGCAAGGGCCCGAGGGGGCGCGAGATGCACCGTGGTGCACGGCGTACCACGGCGCAGAAGAGCACGGCGGAGCGTCGTCGGGTCGATGACACGTTTCCTGTTCGACAATATGTTCTAGGGGGACCCGGACATGACACAGGGCGGGAACTGGAAATGGACGGTGTGGAAAGACCGAGAGCGTAAAACGAGAGCCAACGCTGGTCGATAACACGACTCATTTAGACGACAGGTTCTGAGGGAAACCGGACAGGAAGCAAGACAAAACATGTGAAGGGACGGTTCGGAAAGAGCGGACGCATAAAATGAGAGCCAACGCTGTAGCGGGAACACGATCTGAAATATCCGCAACGAAAAAAAATGAGGTCAGCGCTGCAGCGGGAGCATGGTTTGGAAGGACCAAGAGCCAGAGAATGGAGCCAACGCTGCAGCGGGAGCGCCATGCTGAAAACACCGAGACACCGAACACCGAGCGCCACGCTGGAACACACATCCTACAATCCACCACCTGCTGGGGCCGGACGTGCCGCAAGAAAACCATTGTGTTCGGCGGTGGGCAGGCCACGACCTCGAGGCCCTCGGGGGAAGAGAGGAGCGCATAGTGTCTTCGTGCCGTCTGCCTGCTCGCGCTGCCTCGCCGCCTGCGCCTCGAGGGGACGACGGCGATGACGTCGGCAGCGGCGGCGACGGGCGGCGGAGGAGGAGGAGGAGGAGGAGGAGGAGGAGGAGGAGGAGGAGGAGGAGGGAGAGGAGGGAGGAGGAGGAGGAGGAGGAGGAGGGAGGGAGGGAGGGAGGGAGGGAGGGAGGGAGGAGGAGGGAGGGAGGGAGGGGAGGGGCGACGCCCGCGGCGGCGGCGCGGCCTGTCCGCGCCCAGGTCGGGCCGCGGCTCGGCCGCCGCGCCGGCGCCGCCGCCGCGGAGCACGCTCGGGCTCCAGCCGACGTCGGTGGCCCCGCTGGCGGCGCGCCTCGCGGGAGAGGGCGCGCCCTCGCCGGTCGCGGTGCGCGGGCACGCTGTATGGAGGGCAGGAACTCCTCCCCGCGAAGAACCACCCCGACACGCGAAGCCGTTTACGAACGGGCGAGGAACGGTACAGAATTGCGCTTCTTCGCTGTCGGGGGCGCCTGTCCCTGGGCGGCTGGAAAGTTTATACCCTCAAAGAATCAAACAAGGCAGGGCTGTTTAGGAAACGCCCAGGGCCGTGTAACTAACGCCAATAATTGTCCAGTCCGGGTGGTTTTTCCTCCCTTGAACACTGGGGAAGCCGCTGCGGCGAGGTCTTCGTGAAAGAGGTGAGCTCGCCATGGCTCGGACGTCCAACGTGCGCGTTGCGACCTCGTGCGCGTGCGGCTTCGCAAGGTGGTTCGAGGTGCTCCGCGATGGTCCTCGCCGAGGAGAAAAGTCACACGTCCGAGCGATGCCAGGTGAAAGGCTATTAGGCCCGATTGAGGGGCCGTGAGGCTGGATTCGGAGAAATTGCGCGGAAGACCGCGGGAGTTGCTAAGGGGATGTGGGGCGTCAGAAGTGGATGCTAAGGTGATGTCTGGCCGAACCTAGCTCATGATTTGGCTACATGTGCCCTTCAACTCCGAAGTGGGCTCCGCCCGCCTAGACCAGACGTGCCCCCCTTAAACCACTTAGGGCATATGCAGCCCGTTAAAAAGTGAGGTTAGGCGAGATAGAACCCATCTTGAATCCACTTCTAAATCCCCCTCTTCTCCTAACACTCCCCCTGTCACCCAAGCAATGGCCCGAGTAAAGGGTCACACAACTGGACTAGCCAAAATAAAACCCAACTAGAGCCCATAATTGAGCCGGATTGCGCGGGACTGCGAAAGATCAAGCGGAATCAAACAGCAGTCGGCCGGACCATGCCATTTTCCGAAGGTTGCATCCTAAGACATCCTCGCGCTTCGAAAACACAAACAATTACGGATGGATGGTGTCAAGTTTTGGCCTCCGAGGGCCCTCGCCAGGCCCCTAGGCCACCAGGTCATGACTCAGGGTGAGCCCATTCCTGGGGAAGGGGGTCCGACCTCTGGGGAGCGACGTTGCGAGAAAATTGACGACGTCGGATTCCTGGGTCGTCGCCGTCGCCGCCGTTGCCCGTCGCGGTGGTGGTCGCAGTCATCGCAGCAACCGTCCTCTGCCATAGGAGCCTCCCGCTCCCTTCTGCGGTTCTCCCCTCCTGGCTCTTCCCGTCAGCGCCTCCTCCTCCTCCTCCTCCTCCTTCTCCTCCTCCTCCTCCTCCAGCTCCTCCAGGGCGGCGGCAGCAGTGGCAGTGCCGAAACGCGCCCAGAGTCCATCAAGGCATGAGGGTGCAAACTAGACTTGCCTGTCAGATGCTCTGGGGACGGCGTGTGCTCAGGGGAGGCTGCAGAATCGCTCCACGGTGCGCTGTTCAACCGCTCCTGCAAGGTGGACTCTTTCCCAAATCCGTGTTTCGGTGCGGATCGCCTGCGCGCCTCGTCTCCGTCGTCGTTGTCGTCGACGTCGTCGTGGCCATGGTGTGCGTTGCTCTGCTTGAGACCTGTACGTGCTGACAACCCACCCATCCACCCCTTCTGGCTCCTCCTGGTGGCTCGCCCGCGCCAGGTGCGGGATCCCATCGGGCCCCGGCTCGCTCAGCTCCACGCTCCGGAGGAGCTTGTCGAAGGCGGCTTCCGATGGGGGGCCTGAGGTCGAGGAGGTCGGCTCGAAGGGCATGTCGATCGAGATATACACGAGCAGCTTCGACGTCGATCTTCTTTTCGGCGAATATGGGCGCCCGTCCGAAACCGAGAGCGCGAAATTAATGTTCGGGATCGGCGACTCGCCCCCCACCCTGCTCGACCCCCTGGAGCACGAGCTTCCATCGAAGGGGCCCCAAAGCTTGGCGAGACGAGCAATCCCACTGAGACGGAGGCGATGGCGCGCGAGCGGCTTCTCTGGCACGTTGGGCACGATACTGTGGCGGACTTTCGCAGCGACCCGATCAGCGGCAGCGAGCTGCGCTGCGCTCGTGGTCTCGAAGAACTCAAACGGCGGAAGGAGCGAGACAGAGGCTTGCTGCACATCCACCTGCACATGTTTTCTGCCCGACCAATGCGTCTGCTGGGGACGCTCGGCCGGCTTGATGTCTCGATGCCAAATGGCGCGGGATATCAGTTTGAGTACAGTGAGACTGGCCAGCGGAGCCTGGGGACGTTTGACAATCGTGTTATCACGGGCGCTCTGCGCAGCGTGCCTCATCAACCTCTCGCGAAACTCAATCTGCACCGGCTGCGATAAATCGGATTCGTCTGCGGCCTCGGATGTTTTTCTGATGCTGTCCTGAAGTTCGGTACTGCTGACTGTGTTTGGCGACTTGTTGAAGCGCTTTCCCCCCCCGCCTCCACCTCCGTGAACTTTACCAGGGTGCGCTTCCAGGCTAGTCGTCTACGCTGCTGTCTGTCGGCAAGGAGCTGCCCATGCAACTCAGGAGACGGATGGAGAGAGCGCGGAGGTCGAGCAGCAGTGATAGAAGCCCCCTGCGACAACGACGATCGACGCGAGCGGGTTCTGCTGGGCCCTCAAGAGGCCCAGGCTAATGCGATCTTGGAGGTGCTGACGAGATGGCTGAGTCATATCGTGGTCATGCCTGTTGTAGTGCGCTATCCAGACTCCATTGGGGAACTCGATGGAGACCCTCTGAACCCTGTCTCGAGATGAGAGATACGAGCTTCGTGCTGATTCTGCCGTGCGTCCATGCTGGCCAAGCGACGCTCCATGCGCTTGCCCATCTTGTCGTAGCAGTCGGAGACGGAGGAGGCCAGGCTAGTGACCCCGATCTGGAGCTTGGAGATGGCTGCGAGGAGCTCCTTCTTCGTGGTGTCGACGTACACGCTGACTGCACCGATCGAATTCTCATCGTCGCAGAGAACCTCGAAGACTCTTTCACCACCTGCACCCCCTGCGGCACTACCCGCAGCATGATCTGCACGACCATCACCGTCACGAGAAGCAGCACCATCGCCAAGAGGCGTTGGGTGAGGTTGGCTCTGCTTGGATGGGACAGTCGGGAAGGCCTCCACCTCTGCTTGCAGCCGATGCTGGGGCTGCTCGTCAGGGGCGGCGAGTGCGGCGTTGGTGGCGTGTGCGGCCTGGGCACGATGACTGGCTCGGGCTGCGCTGCGGCTGCGAGCATGACCATCTGTCGGCATCGCACTCCGGAGCTGACAGCGAAAGACATAGACTGGTGGAGCGGAAACAGAAGTAGATGGTGGATGGGAAGATGGCAGGCACCTGTGATCCCCCGCACAAGCTGCCCTGCCCAGCTGGCTCGACACACGTCTTACTTGAGCCAACATGGCTACGGACCTCCTCCTCCTCCTCCTCTTCCTCCTCCTGGGGGGAGAAAGCTCATCATGGAGATCCTCAAGGGCACGTTCAGGGGTGCGCACGAAGCCCTCGTGGTCGAGAGGGGCCAGGCGATGTCGGTGGTGCAACAACTCACCGGGGCCTGCCAGGACATCGATGAGGGGGCCAGCGAGCCCGCAGAGGAGCCGGCGAACGTGTGCGGTGACCAGGTCGCCCACGTGGTCGACCCGAGCGCGGACACGCTGTCGTCGGGGCGCGTCGGCATGACCCTCCCTGCAGTCCCTGTCCCTGTCTTCCCCTCGCTGGGCAAGTGCGGCCTGGCCGAGGATGATCAGGTCGTCGAGGACATTCCCAGGTAGACGATCAAGCTGGAGGGCAAGCTGGACCCTGCTACTGGGGAGGCCCACCTCCCGAGAAAACGGTCAAGCTGGAGGACAAAAACCTGCCGAAGGACGAGTTCATGGTCCAGGCGGTGGTCGTGCAGGTTGTGGCCGTGCGCGAAGCCCTGCATGGTGGATGTGGCCGTGCAGTGCGAGGTGCCGAGCGTGCGAGCGTGAGAGTGCGGAGGAGCTGGTCGTCGAGGGTTTCTTCGAGGAGGCGTCGGAGTGAGAGGAGCATGATCAGTCCGAGAAAACGCCGGTAGTGTTGCGTCCCGACCGCGGAGGTGCAGGAGGGCCTTGCCGTAGGTGCTGCTTTGGCTACGCCCATTCGGCAAGGCTGCGTCGTTCCTGCAGCAGCACGGCGCCGCCTCTGGGACGAAGTCTCCGGGTAGGCCGCGGAGAAGGGGCTTGTCAAGTCCCGCCCGTCGCTTGCGGCCCTCCTGGAGCCTTGGTGCGAGCACGTCGTCGTGCAGGTGCCATGCGGGGCACTCCCGAAGGCGTGCGGCAGGGTCGACGAGGGCAGGGCTGTGGGCGATGGCTGGCCAGAGCGACCAAGCGCAGGGCGTGCTCGATGCGCTCAGCCCCGTGTGGCAGGGAAGGTACCTGGAGATGCTCGGCGGGATCGGCGGCACTGTCGAGGTCGAGCGCTCGGGGGCGGTGTAGCCCGGGCTGCGGGGGGAAAGCGGCGACAATGCCTTGCCAGCTTGCTGGTCGGGCAGCCGCCCTCCCCCACACGGTGTTCGAGGGCATTGGCACCGACTGCGAGTAGTCACTCGGAGCTGTGAGCTGCGAGGCCGTCGCCGAGCAGCTGCCGCCGCGCTGGCAAGGCGGGCGTGGGCGCGGCTTGGAACGCTGGTGTCTTGCTGGGGGGCGGCCTGGGGGTTGCTTCGTTTTCGGGCCGCGGGGTCCTGGGGGCGGCCTTGGTGGCTGCGTTCTGTTGCCCGTTGGTCTCCGTCCCCGCGGGGGTGGTGGGGCCTTGGCCACGGCGTTCCCCTCCTTGGGGGGCCGTTGCTGGGGTGCATTCCGTCGGTGGGGCCCTCGGGCTCCTCGGGTGCACGTCGTCGCTGCGGCGGCAGGCGGATTCCCCGCCATGACTCCATTCCATTTCATTGCATTCCTCCCTCCTCCCTCTCTCGCCTTCCCCCTCCCCCTCCCTTGACAATTACACAATATGAATGCTACTCTCCTCCATCCCCTGATGGCGTGCGGAAGATAGCGGGCACCCCTCTGCGTACTGTATTTTTACACACAGGATTTCCCGGAGTTGGGTTTTCGCTTGGGTGTTTTTCAAAATGATGCTCTCTCTGAAGCGCGGGCTTCATTTTCGGGCTTCCGCTCGTTCCGAATCGTGCTCCCGCTGCAACGCTGGCCTCATTTCCGCGCTTCCGCTCGTTCCGAATCGTGCTCCCTCTGCAGCGCTGGCGTCATGTCCCGTGCCATGCCACGGCATGCAATGCAATGCTAGGTTGCGTTCCGATGCGCGATGCCATGCCTTCAGCTGCAGCTGTCATGTCCAGTGCGTGCGTGCCACGTCATGCTATGCCATGCTACGCTTTGATCTTCAACGCCATGCTATGCAATGTTATGTTCGGGGCCGCTGTGCGATGCCATGCTTTGCGTTGCAAAGCTTTGTGATGCAATTCTTCACTACGCCACGCCACGCCATGCTGTGACATACTACGCTTTGCGGTGCTCTTCTACACCATGCCACGCCGTGCTCTACAATGCATCGCGTACCCTTTCGGGGCCATTGCCCTGCTCAACATCCGACTGTGCGAGTAGAGAGGGGATCTACGCCATGGTAAAAGGATGGGAGGGAGGGGTAGGATGTCAGCTATGACGCGAACGCACCTAGCTTGTCCCTCCCCCCGCCCTCCCCCCTCCCTCCTCCCTCCTCCTCCTCCTTCCATCCCCTCCCCCCCCCTCCCCCTCCCCCCTCCCTCCCCCCTCCCTCCCCCTCCCTCCACACTTGCACACTATGAATACTACTCTCCTCTTTCCCCTGATGACGTCTGGAAGAAGTCCAGATACACTGACGACGTCTTGCACACTATGAATGCTACTCTCCTCGTTCCCTTGATACACTATGAATACTATTCTCCTCTTTTCCCCACAAACATGGCACCGTACGTGCAGTGCCAGGGGCGGCGGCCCGTCTTCCCATCTTACCATCATAGGGGGATGCGAAGTCCCTGAAGACGGGACGGGGTGGGCACGAGCGGGCATCATTGCCGGCTCAAATTCAAAAGAGGCATTATAGCCTCATCAATCTAGAGTGATCCACTCACGGATCCACTGCAAGTTATTTCCATTGACTTCATTCCATGCGTAGCATGCTCTCCCCTCCGCGTATTGTTTTTAACACCGGGGATTCCTGCGAGTTGGGCTTTCGCTGCGGTTTTTCTTCAAAGTGCTGCTCCCGCTGAAGCGCTGGCCCCATGCTGTTCCCGCTGCAGCGCGGGCGTTTTCGGTCCTTCCAAATGGGCCCCAAACGTATTAAATGCCCCCGCCCCCCCCCCTTCCGGGCAAAAATATTCGGAAGTGATTAACTACACATTCAGTGTCGATTCGTTGATTTTCTGTGCCGCAGAAGCCCCCACTTTTGGGGCGTCGTCGTTTTCAGGAAGTATCAAGCGGGAGCCCAGTTTATGCTTTGAGAAGGCGATGTTGGAAGCAGAGTCAACGGGTGCTCTCCATCAGCCCCGCCTTATGTGGAGCTTTTCGGGGAACCCAGCGAGCTAGACATGGAGCCAGGACTCCTGACTGGCCTTGACCTCTCGGAGACGATCCACTTACCCTCCAAGGAACCTGGTGCCAAGCCATGACATGCTGTGCGGTGTTGCGTTACGCTCCGCTGTGCAATGCTTTGTGATGCAATGCTTCACTGCGCAAGCCACGCCATGCTATGTCATGCTTCGCTCTGCCGTGCTCTTCCACGCCATGCCAAGCCGTGCTCTACCATGCATCGCGCACCCTCTCGCGAGCAATGCCCTGCTCGACATCCGACTGCGCGAAAAGAGAGGCCATCTACGCCATGGCAAGGGATGGGAGGGAGGGGTAGGACGTCAGATATGACGCGAGCGAACCTGGCTCGTCCCGCCCTCCTCCTCCCTCCTCCTCCTCCTCCTCCTGCGGGCGGCGGGGCGCCCGCCTGCCCTCCTCGCGCTGCCTCTGCAGGGCCGCGAACGCCTCCGTCCATCCTCGGCGGCGGCGGCGGCAGACCCACTGATGAAGGGGCCCTGGGACACACAAAGAAAGACACACAAATAACAGGATCCCCCACATGCTCCCATATTTTGTGGGTTTTTGTCTTCCCCCCCACTTCCCATATTTTCTTATGTTTTCCTAGGGATCGGCGATTGATTGTGTCTGTGTGTTTTTTTCCCTCCTGAGCTGAGATGGCCGCCCGGGTTTACTCCATCCAGGTGTGCTCGCGACTCTCTGGAGGCACCATGCAGGACTTCGAGGCGTCCGCGCGGGAAGCCAAGCAACTCGCCGAAGCAGCTGTGCACGGGGAGCGCTCGAGTGGCAGGGGTGGCCGCATCACGGTGCTGTTCTATGCTTCCGTGGGGCCACCCTGGATGGGTCCGAGCAGATGGGGTCGGAGGATCGCGCCGAATCGCCAATGCGTCGGCGATGTCGGCGGTGCATCGTCGCCGTCGGCGCGGAGAATATCGTAATCCACACCGAGCCACATGGGCAGTGCATCGGCGATGCGGCGCGACCATCCGACCCCATCTGCTGTGGCCCCATCTGGGACAAAACTCCGACGATATGGTTTTTGCAATCGCGGCTTGCTCCGCTTATTTCGACCTCCTCGATCTTTCGATTTGCGGGTGCCCTCCATGTGGGGCGCAGAAGGGCATACCAGTACTACCGCCGACGACAAACCCCAACCTCCCCTGAGATCCTGGCGTCGCAAGTTGTCCACAACGGGCGATTTTGGCATGCTTCGTTTTGAGCGATGTCGCAATTCTGCATGACGTCGGATCTCAGGGTCCGACGGTCTGACTTCTCCAAGCGCGGCGTTCTCCGTTCATGTCGACCTCCAGGGGGGGCGCTCCTGGGACCAACAGACTACGCGCAAGACTACAGACTACGGTTCTCCGTGCATGTCGACCTCCGGGACGCGCAAGACTACAGACTACCCATGGGGAAGGGGCCGGGCTCTGGGTGGAACGAGATCATATCGGAGGATGTCTGGGGTCATCCATCGCTGCTCTCGCCCTGGACCGCCCAAGGCTTCCGAGGGCTCACATCTCTAGGGCGCCCCCCCCCCGTGACCGCTTTCTCGCCGGTGGGGGGGGGGGGCAGGACACGCTCCGCCAGAGCGCCCCCCCCCCAGCCAGCGGCGGGGGGGGGCGCTCCATCCAGAGCCCAGGGAAGGAGTTACAAAGCGCCCCTCCAGGATGCCCCCCCGTGACCGCTACTCGCGGCGGGGCAGGGACGCCCTGGAAGAGCGAGCGTCGTCGTCGTCGCCGCCGTAACGGCGACGACGGAGACGACTGCGGCGGCGGCGGCGAGGAGGAGGAAAAGGAGGAGGATACGTTGCTGCATTCAATATGTGTATATAAATGTATGTACAGATACATTCGCATTTTATGATTACATAGCATGGTCTTAAAAAAGGCTCTGTCGTCGTCGACGCCGTCGCCGTCGCCGCCGTCGCCGTCGTCGCCGTCGTCCTCGTCGTCGTCGTCGCCGCCGTCGTCGTCGCCGTCGCCGTCGTCGTCGTCGTTGCCGCCGCCGCCGTCGCCGCTGTCGTCGTTGCGCCGTCGCCGTCGCCGCCGCCGCCGTCGTCGTCGTCGTCGTCGTCGTCGTCGCCGAGACAGGGGAAGGAAAGAGAGGGGAGGCAGATCAGAAAGCAAGGACGAGGCAGGAGAGGGCACAGGATGGGGAGGATGAGGACGAAGAGGAGGAGGAGGATGTGGAGGATCTCCTGACGTAGGGAGCGGGAGGAGGTGGTGGCGGCGCGGGCCGCGATGACGTCGAACAGGCATGCCGCAGGCGATCCTGTTGTTGCCCTGCCCCCCTCTGGCCAAATTTCCGCATCGCTCAGAGCAGTGCCGGGGGACTGCTTTGAACGATGCGCATTGTTCAGAGCAGTGCCCCGGCACTGTGTCCAACGTGTCCCTTGTAAGGGCCATCGGATTAGGAAGCAACGCCTGGGACGTCTTCGTGAGAAGAGGGCCGCCCCCTGTGGTCTTTACTGAGACCTCTTCGCACCCCACAGCAATTCTGGGGAAGTCCAAGGGGGTCCCAGGGTCTCTAGGAACTTAAGACCTTTGCCAGACACAGGATCACCGCTCCGTGTGATGCAGTCTACAACACCGTGTGTGTGTGGCATATACGTATATTTATACACATGCTTCTAGTATTGTATGCAGATTTGCACAGAGAGAGAGAGAGAGAGAAAAAAAAAAAAAAGAGAGAAATGCACGCGTATGTCCCTTTCTCGCTCTCTTTCTCTCTCTCTCTGCCTCTGTATTATATATATATACAGATATACACACGTAAGCTTTACCAAACATGTCTGCGTCCGGGCGCGCTCCGCGCGAGCGGTCCGTCTGACCGGCCCGGGCTCGCCGGCGACGCCGGCGAGCGGGCGTCCCCGAAGCTGAAGGCGCTGGCGGCGTCGGCGCTGTGCGAGCTGGCCACCTCGTCGCCCCACATCGCCCCTGGACGGCCGCTGGCCGGGAGGCGAATCCCTCGTATCAAAGCGACGCGGGAGCCGCACATGTGTGCACTGAGATGTGCGGGTCTTCGCCCGAAACATAGAGTACATACTTTGTTGAACGTGTCACGCTCGCGAACGAACCTACCCCGAAGACTGTCCACTACACTGTGCGCGGTGGTGGCTGCGAACGTAGTATCCTTGTCATGTCCCTGCCCCCGACGACGCAGCAACAACCGTGGCGGCTGGGAACACTGGTCATCGCGTCGCCCCACGTCGCCCCTGGACCGTCGCTGGCGGGGGGGAGGAAAGAGGCTCGAGGTTAGAGGCTGTCGGATTTTGTCGTCAGATCTCGGCGGCTTTCCAACCTCGGGCCGCTCTCCAGCAACTGCGCCTCGCAGCGAGGCGTCCAGGGGCGCCCGGATCGTCACGAACAGCCGCCAGAGAGTAGAGCTTTGACCCAAAAGCCAGGGTGTCCCTCAGATGGGGGAGTTTCTTCGCGGCCCTTTCTTAAAATTGTGGCGTTGCATGCGAGCGACTTTGCCTGATTTCGGGCCCGGGGAACATCACAGATGGATCCGGCTCGGATGACTGCTGCAAGATGCTGCGGCCCAGAGCTCCGGTCGATTGTTTTTACCGTCGGGTCTCAGGGGAGGAGAGGCCCTCAGGAGGGGGTGGGAGGGGTACTCGTGGCCTGTCACGGGGAGCTGCCCCGTAGGGAAGCTGCTCCAAGTCGCAGGCGCTGCGCATGCTCCCTGGCCGCGCGGCGGCAGAGCGCGCACATTCCCAGGGGAAGGGTAGGAAGGCACCAACTATACACCAACACCGATCCTGGCCAGAATCACCCTGGGCCCAGGATCGGTGTATACGCCCTCCTGCCCTGCGCAAGAAGGCATATACACCGATCCTGGGCCCAGGGTGATCCTGGGCCAGGATCGGTGTTGGTGTATAGTTGGTGCCCTCCGAAAGGGGGATGGTGCGGGGGACGGCCCGTCCGGAAAGGCGACTCAGAACACGGTGCCGCCAGAGAGGTGAGCTGTTGGAAGCGCCACGCTGTCTACTGTTCGGCTGCGAGCTAGGGGGGGAGTGAGAAGGAGAAGGCCTGCTCAGAGGGTTCGGAAGTCCCCCGGCCTTCTGAGAAGTCTTCTGAGCCTTCCCCGAAAACAGAAAACCCTTCTCGGAAGGCGCGAGGGCTTCTGAGCAGTCCCGCCGCCTTATGGGAAGGCCTTCTCCTTCTCATCCCTCCCCTCGCTCGCTGCGGAATTTGGTTTTCGGGTCATGACTCGGGTCGCTGGCGACCGTTCGGGACGATCCAGGCATCCCCGGAACGCTCTCGGCGAGGCGCAGCCGCTGGGACGCATCCCGAGGTCGACACGCCTCCGAGCACCCACGAAGACGCCCGAAAACCCAGAGCCTCGAGCCCGAAACCTCTCCTTCTCACTTCCCCCCATCCCTCGCTCGCCGCCGATGGACGCGCCACGCTGTCCACTGTGCACTGCCACACAGGCTGCGCTCTTGCACGGGCGGGCACGACACCTCTTGGGCGGCAGAGGCTGCATCGGCCCCCCCTGGGCCAGCTGCCGAGCCCGAGCACTACACCAGCAAAGACAACAGTGAGCATGAGCTGCCCCCAACTGTTTGAAACATTACTTATAGTTCTCGACGTGCGCAAGGTAATCGAGAACTAACTAAGAACAAGTAATGGAGCTGTGCTTAGCTGCGCATATGATACCATCAATCACTACGATAAAAGCCCTGAGCACTTCCAACTGCCAAGCGCAACCTTCAAGCAAAGGCGATGCCGCCGCTTCCTTACCTGTCTTCATGGGCCGAACGAGTTGCTGTTGCACCGAGGTGTGGGCGTCCTCCCTCCTGAGACCTCGCCCCTGATCGTCCTCTCCCTCCTGCTCCTGCTCCCGCTTCCCCTGCCGAGCATGTCTCTGCACCTCGCCTCCTCTCATCGAAATTCTCCCCCGCCCCCCCCCCTCATGCAAAACTCACTTGGTTCACCTGTGATGTCCTCGAGAAAACCATGGGGCATCCCTCAGGAGTCCTTCGGAAATCCGAGGGAACGACCACCTTTCGGAGAGCACCTTCCGTGCACGCCGCAGTCGAACTGGGACCCCCCTTCCTCCGACCCCCCCCTTTCCGAAACTGGGACCCCTCCCCTCCCCCATCGGGTGTTGCTAGAAGTTTGGGCGCCCGAAACGGGTGCGGAAAAAATGGGTACAATGCCCAACCACAAATGTTGCCCCAAACCAACAGCGGCCGCTGTTGGGCAGGCGGCCTTCTGTCTCAAATGGACACAGGCCGCGGCGGCGCGGACAGCGAGCCCTGTTTACAATGAGCAGGAACTGCTGTTGGGCATTGTACCCATGTTTTCCGTGCCCATTTCACTCGTGCAGCAGAAGTGCCCATGGGCCACGGTGCCCCCAGGATTCTCGGGGTAGCCCAAACGGCCTCCAGGGCACCCCTTCACGAGGCCTCCAGGGCCCCAGAGGGGCCCCAAGATGGATCGAACAGCTGGGGGCACCTTGGGCCAGGGGCACTTCTAGCATTATGTCGGGCGTGTCCCCCTACAGGGGGATTCTCGGCGAAAAATAAAGAATACCCCAAAAATGCTCAAAAATGGCAAAAAAATGCCCCAAAAATAGTTCCCAGACTATGTTTTCACATTTTTTTAAATATTCCCCCTGTAGAGGGACAGGCCCGACTCAATTCTAGCAACGCCCGACCCCCCTCCCCGGCGAGAGCCCCTCGCAACCCCCCTCCCTCGGGAGGGAGCGGGGGGTCGCCGGCCAGCAGACGACGCCGTTCGTTGCGACGGCCGTCGTCGCGTCGCCGTCGCCGTCGCCGTCGCCGCCGTCGTCGGCGCCGTCGCTGTCGCCTGCAAGTCGGGCGGTATGGGCACGTCGTCGTTGTGGGCTGGTCCGTCGGGCTGGCGGGACACGTCGTCGTCACTTGCCAGCGCCGGGGCGGGAGCGGGGGGGGGGGGGGGGCAGAGTTCGACCCCTTCCCCCCCCCCCGAGTGCTAATCTGGAGTCCAGGGTGGAGCGGCTTCGACCCCCCTCCGACTTTTTTGAAGGGGAGCGGGAGGGAGATCGGAGGTCGTACCCCCCTCGACTTCCTCCCGGCGTGCTCACGGGACCCGCGCTCGGCCAATCCCGAAAATGCCTCGAGATGCCTGGAAGATCACAACGCGGCGCAGGAGGCGTTGCACTTGCGCCGGCTGAGGGTGTGCGCTTAATTTTTAAGGCAACAAGGAATCACGGCCAGTATGAGCATGAACTGTCCGATCTCCTCGCGGGTTTCTCGGATCGGCGCTGGGCCCCCCCCCCTGGCGCGCGGAGGGCGCCAGGGGCGGCGTCAGAGGCGCCGCCACGGGGGCCCACAACGCCGACGCAAGAAATCCGCGAGGTCTTTCGAAAGTTTATGCTCGTGCAGCTTCCTATGAATGCTAAGGGTGGGGCGAACCTGCCTCGCCTTTGACCACCGTCGCCTCCAAACGGGCACCGAGCGACCGAGCGATACCAAGCCACTCGTGGGGTGCTCCGCAGCGGTCAGGCTGCTCGACGAGGAGGCGCGTGGTATGACGTGGGCTTGCCCAGGAAGGGATTCAGCGGGCTAGGTAATCCAGCCTCTGGAAAGTTGGCTGCCCCCTGTCAAGCATATGTTGGCCCACCATCGGTGCATGTGTGGGCACGGCCCGTAGGACCACAACATGCCCTGGCACTCCCCATGGGCTCCTCACTTCGTCAGGGGGTCGGCGGAATGGAGTAAGGCTTCTGAATCACTGCTTTCAGGGGCTGCTCCTTCTCTGCATCCTCACGTCCCCGCCGCCCAGCGCCTCGGTCGCAGGCGCGTGCCGGCCGCTAATCCCACCAGCCCTCTGGGCGTCGGTGGTTCAGGGAGTTTCCTCTTCCACCTCTTCCCCTTCGGGGAAGGGTTTACCCCTCCCCCTACCCCCTCCCCATGGACCTTGACAGGGGGTTCCGCGAGGTGTCGGAGCGTGCAAAACGGCCTCGGCGAGGAAACAAAAATCATTGGTTTTAGTATGGTTTTGGCACCATTTTGGCCTCCTGGGGGGCGGGGGCGTATAAGGAACCCCCCTTCGTTGACAGATATCATCCAAGATGGTCCCAAGAGAGCCCCTAAAGCTTCCAAAAACGCCCCGACAAGGCCCCCAAAGGAGCCCAGACGGGCCCAAGAGGCGCCCAGGAGGCCCCAAAAGGCCCCAGGATGGCCCCAAGATAGCCCCAAAATGGCCCCAAGAGACCCCCAAAAGACCCCCAAGAGGACCCCAAGCGGCCTCCCCGAGGCACCCAAGACGCTCAAGAGTCCTCAGGACCGCCAAGAGACCCCCGAGACGTCGCAAGAGGCTTCAAAACAAACGCCCACGAGATATCCCAAGGGGCTCCGAGAGGCATTCAAGAGACCTCCAAGAGACCCGAAGAGGCTTCACGAGGATCCCCGAAGCCCCCAAGATCCCCCCCAGACGCTCCAAGAGGTTTCCAAAACAACCCCCAAGAGACATCCTAAGAGGATCATATGTCCGCCCTGCTTCCTCCTCCTTCTCCTTGTCCTTTTTCTTCTTCTTCTTTTTCTTCTTCTCCTCTCCTCTCCTCCTCCTCCTCCTCCCCTTTATCCGTCTACTCACCATCCGAGAACCAGCACCATCAGCAACAACAGCAGCAGCACTAGCAACAGCAACAGCAGCACCAGTACCAGCAGGAGCAAGAGCACCAGCAATAACACTTGCAACCTTCGCCACAAAAGATCTCCCACTTCAACATTGTTGCCCGCTCCGGTTCACTGTGTGAGTCTCTTCATCCCCTCTTCCGTCAGCGTTCCTGGACATCGTTTCTGGATGGGCTGGTGGGGATACGCGAAGCGTCTAGAATTACTTGGGCTCCGCGCGCGCCTGAGCCAGATGGATGCACAGCGCCAGGGCGGCTGCTCGAGGGGGCCTTGTGCCAGGAGGAGGAGGAGGGGGAGGAGG